AGAAATGGGGTTATTTCAGGTGAGGGGGGTGATTCTTACGGTAGAGATAAGAAACGGTAACTGACATCAAGCTTCAGTCTAACTGAAAATCCTAAATACGTCTCCTTGGGTCACCTCTTGGGAATCTGCTGCACTGGGGCAGAGCAATGCCACCAGTCCCGCCCCCTTTCCTGGCACCGCTCACAGAAAGCCTAAGGGTCGGGCCGCGTAGGGAATTCCGGACACCGGAGTGAACCCAACCTGCCCCACCGGTCCCTGTCGGGCCCAGTCAAGGATCGGAAGATAGGCACAACCGGGGAGCACTGAGGCAGGGGAAAGACTGTGTCCAGAAGACAAGGATCACTTCCGAGGGCCTTTGACCTTTTTACGCCTCCAAACGTCCCCACTAGAACGGGGAGCTAGAGGCGGGCAGGGAAGGTGAGGGGGCGGCGGGGCGAGGCTGCCAAGTTCGTCTCCGCCGCGCGTCCCCGCCAGGCCTCGGGTGCGCTCGCCTCGGGCTGTGGGGACCTTCTCTTCTGGCGTCTGACCACCCGATTCGTCCGACTTAGTTGTAGGAGTTACGAGACTTTCCAGTGTTTTCGTCCCATAATATAGCTAGTGTCACAGAAACTCTGAAGACCTCGCCTTTTTTCTCTTTTAACCCTGTTTTGAAAAAAAAAAAAAAAAACACAATCACAAAACCTCGGTACCGGTCAGGCAATTCTGCGGCCAGCCCCGCCAGTTAGGCCCCAGCGGCGGCCTCCGCGCTCTGCGGCCCCGCCCCCGCAGGCTGGCGCTCTACGCCCCTTTTCACCTCTGTCCCCAACTTTCTGGAGTTTTCTGGGTTCGAGGGCGGGGACTGACTCATAGGAACACTCTTCAACAAACTGCGCCATCCAAGTCTCCCCACCCTCACCGCCGCACCCCCCAAATCCCGCTCTAGAAAATCAAGCTTAGTCATGGCTATTTAATTTCCAGAAGATTCTGTGAACTCAGTCCCAGCCTAGCCATAGGAACAGGGCTCCCCCTGCTTTCCTCTTTGCGACGGAACAGTCTGCTCTGAAAGGAAGGGGAGGCAGGGCTGGGAGAGCTGGAGGACGGGTGGGAACGATAGAAGTGGCGGCGGGGTTGGGATGATCAGGAGTCAGAAGTGGCATTCCAAAGGGGGAGTCCCTGGCTGGTCACATAGCCCCGTGGTGTCCCTAATGTGAACAGAGTCCTGACATTCACTTCACTTCCTTTTGCGGACATTTGTTTCCCTCTTTAGAGAGTGAAAGATATAGGATGCCTCTGCCAACACGGAGAGAAATTCAAAATAGGGAATATGAGGACCTGTGGGTTCAATCCCCTGTTCTATAATTAGCTGAGTGACCAGACCAAGCCACTGAACCACTGATCCTTTGTGTTCGTCTTTGAAAATGAAAAGGTTTGCCTGAATGATCTCTGCCTGGAAATCTTTAAGATAGTTTCCCCAGTAAACTGAAAGTAATGCCATTGTCCTGGTAGTACTCCTCAACCTTGTAAGCAACTCGATAGGAAAGACTTGAGAGGTCAGACCTGAGTATGGGACCCCACCAAAGAAGCAAGAAGGGAGCAAACTTCGGAGCACTACTGTGTCACAGTCACAGAACTAAGGCCTTAGAAGCATTATCGTATTAATCACTGATGCCTACCATCCTATAAAATGGATATTGTTAATTCTATTTTAGAGATACAGAGACGTGTGTAATTCAGTTAACCTACAAGCATTTCCTTGTGAAGGAGGAGGATGAAGGCGAAGAAAAACAGCAGCTTCAACAAGGAAGTAGAGTCAGATCCAAATTCTGGTCTTCCCCAGTTTTTTCCAAACTGCTGGAAATCTGCAGCTTTCCCAGGTCACTGAAGCTTTTGCCACTGACTTGTTAAAAATGCCAGGCTCTAGGTTTCCTGTCAGTTACCTCTTTTACTTTTTTCTGGCTAACCTTAGAATTATACCATGTTTCTGGCTAACCTTAGAATTATACCATGTTTGGGGCGCCTGGGTGGCTTAGTCGGTTAAGCGTCCGACTTTCGCTTAGGTCATGATCTCGCGGTTCGTGGGTTTGAGCCCGGCGTCGGGCTCTGTGCTGATTGCCAGCTCAGAGCCTGGAGCCTGTTTCAGTCTGTGACTCCCTCTCTCTCTGACCCTCCCCTGCTCACGCTGTCTCTCTCTCCTAGAAATAAAAAAAATAAATAAAAAAAAGGAATTATACCATGTTTGTTTTCAAACAAAAGAACTGAGGAGAAAACAGTACAGTTTGAGAAACTGCGGGCGGGGGGCGGGGAGAGAAGAGAAGAAAAAAGAACCACAGCAGCTTCAGGAAGATAAAGGCTCCCCTCCTCCATACTTCCTGCCTGCTGCCAGCAATGTTCTTGGCTCATCCTTTCCTGTTCCCCCCACCCCCACCCCGACTTAATTAAGTACCTGACAGCCCAGCCCCACCAGCTTGGGGAGATTCTATCCTTTCAAATGCCAAACTCGATAAAACCTAATTGCAAAATTAGTCAAAGTAAAATTCTAGAAAATTTCTTGGGGTTCTTACAGTCACCTTAGACACCAGTTAAACCTGCGACTTGGTTTTTGCCTTGGAACCATCCAGTGTAAAAGACAAAATCCAGGAGACACTCCTTGTCGGGAAATGAAAAAGGAATATAGATGTTTGGGTTTCCAGACCAGTCCACAGAGAGAGATTTAACTCAAAAGGTAGGTCAACTATAGGGTGTAGGTTTCTGATTCATAGAAAACAGCATTTGTAATGGATCTTTTTCTGCTGTGCGAACAGCAGCAAGATTTGAAGCCCTATTACCATGTCTACCTGCCAGGGAGTGGGTACGGTGATGCCCTTTGCTTCCAGCTAATAAAGTAGTAGTATAAATTGCAGATCTGGAAAGAAGGAAGGAATAAATCCAGAACTGCCTCTAGTAGCAGGTAATGGCAAGGAAGCTCCGGGAGGGAGGAGAGGGGCCCTGGGAAGTGTTGACACATTGGGCAGCTAAAATGGAAGCTTGGGAGTTGCCAGAGATTGCATAAAGAAATGGAAAATTCCTTAAGTTTGACCAGTTAGACTAGATTAGGAGGTGACTCATTAGGGAGCTACATTTGAATGTAAAAAAAGTTATCACTTGCCTGCACAAACACACAAGGGAGGTTGTCAAAGCAATTCCAATTGAGTAAAATGTTCAAAAGCAAGATTCCTTCCCTTCATCAAAAACTGCCTTCCCATATATATATAAAAACAAACAAAAACACCGCTTTCTCTCATCGTGTTGGGTTTTTTTGTGCTCAACTATGTGGGTACAGCAATGTGTTTATTTTTGGTGGGTTGTGAACCTGGTACTATTAACGTCCCTTACGTTTTCACTTCACTTGTCCAACAAGTGGTCTTGCATATCCACAAAGAATTTATTTTTAACATTTATTCATTTTCAAGAATGAGAGAGAACATACATGGGGGAGAGGGAGAGAGAGAGAGAGGGAGACACAAATCTGAAGTAGGCTCCCCGACTCTGTGCTAACAGCTCAGAGCCTGACTCTGGGCTGGAACTCACGACCACAAGATCATGACCTGAGCTGAAGTCAGACGTTTAACTGACTGAGCCACCAGGTGCCCCAAGAAATTTTTTTTAAGGCCAAAATGACCAAATGTGTTTGTATTTAAAGCAGGAGAGAGGAAAGCAGGCAGAAAATTGGAATCTAGGATTAAAAAACTAAGCGGTTGAATTAAATGCATGAGAAATAATTTTAAACATAGGAGTAGAACCTGAATCCGGCCAACCCCTCCCACCTTCCAGCATCATCCCGACCAGTATGCTTAACAGGGACTACCTGCAACCAGCTGTGGCTTATGCTATTAAAGACTAAACACCCTCACCCCTCCCTCGCCAGCTCACCTCCCTCTGCATTTCATTTAAAGAGGATGGACGCCCCCCGGGCAACAGAGATAGGGCAGAAGACCAAATTCTGAGCTTTGAATATGAACCGGGAATTAACAGGCAAACCTTCTTGGAAAAGGGGTGGCCCAGACCTCCCCCCGCCAGCTTGATAGAATAGGGAAATGGAGAAGCCCCAATGGCCTTCAAGACAGCTGAATTCCTACGGAAAGTTTTTTCTTCCTCTGGCCGAGCCCCGCCCAAAGCAAACAAGAGCAGCAGATCCAGCCCTAGTCTAACCCTTCTCCTGCCCCGCCCTTCTCCCTGCCTCTCCCCCTGCCCTTGCCCTAGCCCAGAACGTTCCTTCTGGGGCATAGGGGACGTTCTCCAGTTTAAGAGCCGCCTGTTTACTTAATTGTTTTTCTTTTAAAAATTCAAATCCTCCCCCCCACCCCAGGTATTCCAACCGAGTAGGTTAGAGATGATTTCAAAACTATATTGCATGATCTCTTTCCTTCTCTTTTTCACGTTAAACCGAAAGTGGGAAAACCGCCATGGCTTGCAAAGGCAATCCTCAGGCAGCTCGGGCCTTTGGACCAACGCACCAGCCAGCCTAAACGCGGCCCCGACCGTCAGCGTCACAGTCCAATCAGAGTCTCTTTGACCCGCCGACACCCCACCCATTTCGAGAACCTAGGGAACTTTTTGTATTTGGGGTATCTCCGGGGTGTCGTGTATGCCTTCATCCTATTTTAAACCACCAAACTAGTTTGAATCCCACAAGGCTCTACCAGCCTGCGATTATAAGTGCTAGTCTTTACGTTCAGTTTCAGTCCGTGGACAACGTCGCCAGGAGGCAGCGAGACTGGGTGGGCGGGGCCAACAACAACCCTTCCCAGCTCCTCTCCTCCCTCCCATTAGGACTCGGGTTCCTTCCCAAGAATCCGAGAAGAGTCTGGAGAGTTCTGGGAGGGGCGGCACCCAGGACGCTGATTGGTCCCTGAAAGCCTGGAGGCAGGACACGAAGCGAAACCGCTGGAATATTCCCGGCCAGGCAACCCCACCGAGCTCTGTGATTGGCTGAAGACGGAAAAGGCGGGGCTCCATGAGGCGTTATAAGCACAGAACCGCCCAGTCCCGAAAAACAGCAAGCCTGAAAAGAGCCATAAGGTTTCGGTCAGTGTCAGCTAGCGCAACTTCCGCAGGCCGGCTGCGTAGAACTCCCGCACGTTCAAGTTTGCAGCTTCGGAACAGACCAAGCTCCTCGTCGCGTATCCCGACCGACCGACCGACCGACCGACGTTCACAAAGGCTGAACCTCAGCGCGGGCCAAGGGAGCAGGACACCGACATGGCCAAAACCGCAGCCATCGGCATCGACCTGGGCACCACCTACTCTTGCGTGGGGGTGTTCCAGCACGGCAAGGTAGAGATCATCGCCAACGACCAGGGCAACCGCACCACCCCCAGCTACGTGGCCTTCACGGACACCGAGCGGCTCATCGGCGATGCGGCCAAGAACCAGGTGGCGCTGAACCCGCAGAACACCGTGTTCGACGCGAAGCGGCTGATCGGCCGCAAGTTCGGCGACCCGGTGGTGCAGTCGGATATGAAGCACTGGCCCTTCCAGGTGATCAACGACGGAGATAAGCCCAAGGTGCAGGTGAGCTACAAGGGGGAGACCAAGGCGTTCTACCCCGAGGAGATCTCGTCCATGGTGCTGACCAAGATGAAGGAGATCGCCGAGGCGTACCTGGGCTACCCGGTGACCAACGCGGTGATCACCGTGCCGGCCTACTTCAACGACTCGCAGCGGCAGGCCACCAAGGACGCGGGGGTGATCGCGGGGCTGAACGTGCTGAGGATCATCAACGAGCCCACGGCCGCCGCCATCGCCTACGGCCTGGACAGGACCGGCAAGGGGGAGCGCAACGTGCTCATCTTTGACCTGGGCGGGGGCACCTTCGACGTGTCCATCCTGACGATCGACGACGGCATCTTCGAGGTGAAGGCCACGGCCGGGGACACCCACCTGGGTGGGGAGGACTTTGACAACAGGCTGGTGAACCACTTCGTGGAGGAGTTCAAGAGGAAGCACAAGAAGGACATCAGCCAGAACAAGCGAGCCGTGAGGCGGCTGCGCACCGCCTGCGAGCGGGCCAAGAGGACCCTGTCGTCCAGCACCCAGGCCAGCCTGGAGATCGACTCCCTGTTCGAGGGCATCGACTTCTACACGTCCATCACCAGGGCGCGGTTCGAGGAGCTGTGCTCGGACCTGTTCCGGAGCACCCTGGAGCCCGTGGAGAAGGCCCTGCGCGACGCCAAGCTGGACAAGGCCCAGATCCACGACCTGGTCCTGGTGGGGGGCTCCACCCGCATCCCCAAGGTGCAGAAGCTGCTGCAAGACTTCTTCAACGGGCGCGATCTCAACAAGAGCATCAACCCCGACGAGGCAGTGGCCTACGGGGCGGCGGTGCAGGCGGCCATCCTGATGGGGGACAAGTCTGAGAACGTGCAGGACCTGCTGCTGCTGGACGTGGCGCCCCTGTCGCTGGGCTTGGAGACGGCCGGCGGCGTGATGACCGCCCTGATCAAGCGCAACTCCACCATCCCCACCAAGCAGACGCAGATCTTCACCACCTACTCGGACAACCAGCCCGGAGTGCTGATCCAGGTGTACGAGGGCGAGAGGGCCATGACGCGGGACAATAACCTGCTGGGGCGCTTCGAGCTGAGCGGCATCCCGCCGGCCCCTCGGGGAGTGCCCCAGATCGAGGTGACCTTCGACATCGACGCCAATGGCATCCTGAACGTCACGGCCACGGACAAGAGCACGGGCAAGGCCAACAAGATCACCATCACGAACGACAAGGGCCGGCTGAGCAAGGAGGAGATCGAGCGCATGGTGCAGGAGGCGGAGAAGTACAAGGCCGAGGACGAGGTGCAGCGCGAGAGGGTGTCTGCCAAGAACGCCCTGGAGTCGTACGCTTTCAACATGAAGAGTGCCGTGGAGGATGAGGGTCTCAAGGGGAAGATCAGCGAGGCCGACAAGAAGAAGGTGCTGGACAAGTGCCAGGAGGTCATTTCCTGGCTGGATGCCAACACCTTGGCCGAGAAGGACGAGTTTGAGCACAAGAGGAAGGAGCTGGAGCAGGTGTGTAACCCCATCATCAGCGGACTGTACCAGGGGGCGGGTGGCCCGGGGGCTGGTGGCTTTGGGGCTCAGGCCCCCAGAGGGGGCTCTGGATCAGGTCCCACCATTGAGGAGGTGGATTAGGGTCCTTACCTTCCAAACTTTGTATTTCTTTTGAAGTCAGAGGTGACCTGAGACCTTGCTATGGCACTGTATTTTTTTTCTACTGTTTTCAGCTATTTGAATTTATTTAGAAATTAGTTTGTAACCTGATAATGTTTTTGTTTATTTCTTTGTGATGTACCAGTGTGTTTAGTAGAGTTTTTGCATTTAAAATAAGTTGGTACTTTTTTTTCTACTCTGTATGATGAGTAAACACTGCCACCCTCTGTCCAACTTTGCTTTGTAAACACCAGAAGTCATGGAATGGCTTTTTTTTTTTTAATTTGTATACTTCACCATGAAAAATAAAATATTAAAAATATGAGTCTTTTTATTTGAGGGATTAACGGACTTTTCTTTGAATGTCTGAATTTCATAGGCTGTTAAAAACACAGTAATTCTGGAGAGAGGTACACTATGAGGAGCCATGACTTTGGCTATTTATTTTGATACTTAATTGTAGGTTTTAAGTTATATCTTGTGCTAGAAAACAATTTCAGCTGCACATTTTTGTGGGTGCAGCTTTTTTAGGGGAAAAGAGGGATGGGAGTGGCAAAAATGAGTTTGGGGGGAAGTTGTGAGTTTAAAGGCAGTTTGAGAGGGGCTCACGGTTCCTTACTCTCTCTCAGTGTGTGCAGAGCCCTTTGTCACTTCTGAGCTGTGAGTCTCCTGTGAGTCTTCTCTTTTGTTTAGGTTATAAATTATTTTAGAGGTGTGCAAAACAGCAAAAATGAGATGCAGAGTCACACTCCAGTGCTGTAAATGCCACCTGGGTGACCAAGTGCAAATTATTTAGCCTCCGGTTTGGGTTGTCTCTTTTTAAAATAAAGCATTTTGTCAGAATGACCCCCCCCTTTTTTTATAATTAAAATTTTTTCTTAAATTTTTTTTTTTTTGAGAGGGATGGAGTGCAATCAGGGGAGGGGGGCAGAGAGAGAGGGTGACTCAGAATCTGAAGAAGGGTCAATTCTCTGAGCCATCAGTGCAGAGCCTGATGAGGGGCTTGAACCCACAGACCTCAGGTCTTGAGAACATGACCTGAGCTGAAATTGGTCACTTAACCACCTGAGTCATCAGGCACCCCAGAATGACCTCACTTTTAAAGTTCTAAATCATTTTGAGCAGAAATGTGGCATAGACCACCCCCATCTTCAGCCAAGGTTATCCTCGTTGCAGTTATTAAGACTATGGAGGAGAGAGATTCTGAGGGTCTGGGAGGCATGACAATTGATGAAGGAGCTTGGGGCAAGCTGCGGGCAAAATACAGGCTGGCACACACACACCCCACCCCCATATGTGCGATATTCCTCAAAGACTCTTGGCTACCCAAGACCAAAGGAAAGTGCTTGCCATGGTAATGTGGGAAACCCGGGCACACCGAAAACTAAATTCCCTTACTGCCTACAGCCCGTTGACAAGTCCTTGAAGCTTGCAGCGTGATCTCCCTCTAGGAGCTCCATTGCCAGAATGATGACACTTTGCTAGGGACAAAAGAGAACCTTAGTTTAACATTATCCCAGCCTCAAGGATCCTGTAAGTCTACTTCCTTTATCTCAACTGCGCCAAGATACATGCTGGCAATCGTGCACCAAGCTTTGGTCCCCCATATACATCTGAAGGGTCTCTTGACTGGGGTTTTATTAAATGGTAGTAAATGGTGTTACCCTAGCAACAGCTAGTTCCTCAAGGTCCTGGAAACCTTGCTTCCAAAATTCCTTAGAGATTTACCCTATCCCTGATCCCTTCCCAACCTGAGAATATATGACTTTCCAGTCAGGACCCCAGTGCGGTTCTTCCTGCCCATGGGTCCTGTCCCATGCTTTAATAAAATCACTTTTTTTACACCAAAGATGTCTTCAAGAATTCTTTCTTGGTTATCGGCTCCAGACCCACCCATCATCACCCCAAAAACTTCATCAATGACAAGGCAAGTTCTGTGCTTCACCCCAGTAATCTTCAGTAATTTCTACCTCCCCATCTTCTAAATCAAGTGTTCTAAAGTTTTTTATTTTTTATTTTTTTTTCATAGATTAGCATGTGAGAGTGGTCACTTCCAACTACATCCAGGGCAAAATTAGCAACAAATGCTGTTTTTTCCCCACACTGCCTGAACACTGTTGGCACTGGGTTCCTGTCCCATTCTAAGTGATGGTTTTGCCCCAGTTTTAACAATCAGTAACCTCTTTGTCTTCTTATGGACAATCTCAAAGCCGTAGTAATTTAAAGTAAGATCAAATTTAATTATGAAGAGAGTTGAAAGCTGTACAACACAGAGCTGGTAAGATCAAGGAAATGGACTTTACCTCCCGTACAAGCCCTTCCCCAGGGGGTTCTTCCTGACACAACAAATAGATGCCCTTAACATTTACTTAGCCTGATAGAATCTCAACCTCCTGTCTCCCAAACACAGAACCTGGAAATAACTACTCCAAAATCAAAACAAATTGAAGTTCAAGTTCTGTTTTTCAATAAATCTTCATCCTCTGGGAAAATCGAACATTTTAGGGATGAAAAAATATTGGAAGCTCTCCTTGAAAGCTTGTAAAGGAAATGGAGTATAGTAAGTTATTCTGGTTCCTGGGCCAATTCTCAGAGGCCTGTTTTACTCAAAAAATAGGTGAACTGTAACTAACTTCTTACCATAGAATATGGTAAATGTAGTTTAACTGCAGCAGCAGCAGCAGCAGCAGGAATTGATTTGTTTGCTTTTTGTGTGTTGTACTCCCAGGTAGTACAAGGAGTAAGTAGCTGCAAGCTACTGGAAATATGTTTCTCCAACTTAGTGGTATATTAAAATCATTGGGGGAGACTAAAAAAATACTGATGCCCAGCCTCCACCAGGAGTCAAAATCTTTGGGAGTGGGCTAAGGCATTGTACAGAATTAAAGCTGTCTGAGTGTTTCTAATGTGCAACCAATAGTGGAGAAAAATGATGGCATCAGAGGCTATTCCTGATTACATTTTTAGATGGATGGGGGTATGGGAGAGGGAGGAAGGTGTCTGCTTGCAGGAGCAACTCGTGGTGGTAATCGGCTTTCTACAGTGGATGGGAGCCTGAGACTTTAGAGGTCTGAAGTGTTGATTCACTGGCAGCAGCAGTGATTGAGGTTAGGGAAATCTCCAAGAACTGCTTGATGGGTCAAAAAAGAGAATCCCTGATGCTGGGAAGTAGTTCTTTGGGACACAACATCAGAATAGGATCATTCAGGGGCACCTGGCTAGCTCTGTCAGAAGAGCATGTAACCCTTGGGGTGGCTGGTGGCTCAGTTGGTTGAGCATCCCGACTCTTGCTCAGGTCATGATCTCGCAGTTCGTGAGATCGGGCTCAGTGCTGACTGCTCAGAGCCCGGAGTCTTCAGATTTTGTGTTTTCCCCTGTCTCTCTACCTCCCCTGCTTGCACTCTGTCTTTCTCTCTCTCAAAAATAAACATTACAAATTTTTTTAAATAATAAAAATAAAAAGATGAGCATTCAATTCTTGACCTTGGGATCCTGAGTTTGAGCCCCAGGTTGGGTGTAGAGATTACTAAAAAAGAAAAATTTTTTTAATGTTAAAAAAAAAGAAAAAGACTCCCAAATGTTTTTTATTTCTTTATTTTTTAAAATGTTTATTTATTTTTGAGAGAGACAGAGTGTAACCCAAGGAGGAAGGGCAGAGATAGAGACACACACACACAGAATCCACAACAAGCTCCAGGCTCTGTGTTATCAGCACAGAGCCCAATATAGGGCTCGAACTCACAAACTGTGAGATCATGACCTGAGCCAAAGTCGAATGCTCAACTAACTGAGCCACCCAGGCGCCCCCCCACATGTTTTTTAAAAAGATGAAAATTTATTGGCTACCTGTACATGTACACATTTTGGAACTTAAAGTCACTTTGCAACATCAACTGTGGGTGAAACTCAACCCCTAGGAGTTGAGAAATGCATCAAATAAACAAGTGAATACTATAGGATTCTTGGAAGAGATTTTTTGTTTTTAATTTTTATTCTTTTAAAAAATTTTTTAAATGTTTATTTTTGAGAGAGAGAGGGAGAGAGACAGAGCATGGGAGGAGGAGGGTCAGAGAGAGAGGGAGACACAGAATCCGAAGTAGTCTCCATGTTCTGAGCTGTCAGCACAGAGCCTAACTTGGAGCTCCAACTCACAAAATGCAAGATCATGACCTGAGTCGAAGTCAGATGCTTAATGGACTGAGTCACCCAGGTGGCCCTTTACATCCAACGTGGAGAACAAACTCAAGACCCCAAGATCAAGAGGCTCATACTCTACAAGCTGAGCCAGCCAGGTGCCCCTTGGAAGATATATATATATTTTTGCAGTTGTTTATTTTTTATGTTAGAGAGAAAGAGAGAGAGAGCGAGAGAGAGAGCGTTCATGAGCAGGGGAGAGAAGCAGAAGGAGGAAGAGGGACACTCTCAAGTGGACCACATGCTCAGTGTTCAGCATGGAACCAGATGTGGGACTTGATACCACGACCCTAAGATCACTGCCTGAGCTAAAATCAAAGCTCAGAAGTGCTCAACTGACTGAGCCACTCAGGTCCCCCTGGGAATACTTTGTTTTGATGTAAGTCTAAAATCTTGGGGCAAGGTGGAAAGATTATTGCAGAAGAGGATATATTTTCTGCACCCGCAATGGCCTTCTTTCAAATTTTAATCTGTGCCCACTGTGCCTAAATTATGTGACTTAAAAAGAAGGTTGGGGTAGCTGGGTGGCTCAGTCAGTTAAGCATCTGACTCTTGACTCTTGGTTTTGGCTGAGGGAGTGATTTCTCAGTTGGTGGGGTTGACCCCTGCATCGTGGACTCTGCACTGGTAGTGCAGAGCCTGCTTGGGATTCTCTCCCGCTCTGTCTCTGACCCTTCCCTGCTTGCTGGCTCTCTCAAAATAAATAAACAAACATTAAAAAAAATAAGGGGTGTGTGGGTGGCTCAGTTGGTTAAGCCTCTGACTTTGGCTCAGGTCATGATCTCCCTGTTCCTGAGTTCAAGCCCCTCATAGGGCTCTGTGCTGACAGCTCAGAGCCTGAAACCTGCTTCAGATTGTTTCACTCTCTCTCTCTCTGCTCCTCCCCCGCCTACTCTCTGACACACACTCTCTCTCTCAAAAATAAACATTAAAAAGTAAAATAAAATAAGACTGATTTTGGGGGTTCCTGGCTGGCTGGGTAGAGCATGTGACTCGATCTTGGGGTCATGAGTTCCAGTCCCACTTTGTGTATAGTGATTACTAAAAACAACAATGGTTTTGTATGATCTGGAACCCCCAATTTATCCTCTAATATGTTCCTTTCTCACAAAGATGAAGAGGCCAAGATACATCACCAAACACTAACTGTATTTATAAATGAGGAGGTAAAGAAGGGTCCATCCAGGAAGGTGGGATTTGGGATAATTTATGAGTTGATGGATTAAGGGGCCAAGAGCAAATCACCAGCTTTCTGGTGGAGAAAAACTAGCAAGGAGAGAACAGGGCCTGGCTGTTGCTACCCACCTCAATTAGTTTTGCTTCCGACCCTCCTGAGACATATGGTTCTATTTAGAGTGTACTGAACATGTCCACCGTTTCTGGCTAACACCCAGTCCATTAACTGCTCATAAAGAGGACAGGAAACCGGAAACTGGGAGCCGTTTCATGGGTATAGTAAGATAGTTATGCAAATCGGTTGCACAACAACGTGATACACTCAACATTACTGAACTGTACACTTAAAAAGTTAGTTTTTTTTAAAGTTATCAATTGGTATATTTATTTTTAATTTTTTTAACATTTATTTATTTTTGAGAGACAGAGGCAGGGCAAAAGTGGGGGAGGGGCAGAGAGAGACTGAGACACAGAAACCTAAGCAGGTTCCGGGCTCTGAGCTGGCAGCAGAGCCCCACGCGGGGCTCAAACCCACGAATCGTGAGATCATGACCTGAGCCAATGTCGTACGCTTAACCAACCGAGCCACCCAGGTGCCCCTCCCAGTCGGCTAAGCATCGACTTCGGCTTAGGTCATGATCTCACGGTTCGTGGGTTCGAGCCCCGCGTCGGGCTCTGTGCTGACAGCCAGCTCAGAGCCTGGAGTCTGTCTCGGATTCTGTGTCTCCCTCTCTCTCTGACCCTCCCCTGCTCACGCTGTCTTTCTTTCTCTCTCAGAAATAATAAATAAATAGATAAATAAATAAATAAATAAATAAAACAAACCTGTTTATTATATGTTATTTATATCTTAGTAAAGCTGTTAAAAAAAAAAAGACAATACGGTTAATGTGACTGATAGGTCTGCGGGCTAGAGTGGGCTGCGAATTCAGATTTCGCTGGCTAGACAGAGCAGGTGACAGTCTCTTAGAGAGACCAGGACCCCAAACAGGTGGGAACGAGGGAGGAGTCCACCGGCCGTTATTCCAGCTGGGACTTGCGATCCGGGAGGTCCGTGAGGAAAAGCACTCGGGTGCTCAGTCTTCCTGCAGCGCCGGGGACTGTTTCCGGCCGGGCCAATGAAGAGACGGTAATCTGTTTTTTGTTTTTCAAAATTAACAAAATATGTCCGAATTATTTGCCTGGAAGAGTGTGAAATATGACTCCTGGCCTTTCTTTTTCTTGGTTTATTCTTGTTTAAACCAAGGGGAAATACCATGGGTCGAGCAGGCATCGACGAAGACAGCCATGCCTGTCAGGCCCCCGACCCCACGTCGCCATAAATAGCCGAGATTCCGCCATTATAGTTCTTTGCGTGCGTTGAACTTGTGGTCGGAGCATGTGAACGAGTTGTACTGCGCCTGGGGGCCGCTGTGGCTACTCGCCCTACACCAGAGGGAGGGGGCGGCCCCCGCGTCCTGAGATGTCGGTGCCAAGCTTCTTTCGTGTAGGTATCTCGAGGCCCTGTTGGTTGAGGAGATTGTAGTCTCGGGCTGAGCAGGATGAACTACCATTACAGACTAGAGTTTCTGATGTGCACGTGACGCCACCGTTTGGAACTGACCCAGCCCAGGGCAGGGGGCTACTCGGCTGGAGTCGCCCCTGGCCTCTACTGACTCACTGGTTTCTTCCCAGGGCCATGGTCTTCGCAGGCTGGTCCGTAGCGCCACGAAGGTGAGTGGATTGTGCGAGATGGAGTGGCTAGCGGTGGCTTTGGGGAAGACGGGGGTGATGATGAACCTAGGTGATTCTGAGTGTCTCGCTGACGCCGTCACCGCAGCGCGCTGACCATCTCCCTCCCCGGGCGGGGCTGGCCTGGTACCTGAGGTGGGGAGAAGCTGATGACCAAAAAACTCTTAGAAGTAACCGATCCCTGGGTTTCATTTTTCCATTAGGTGTTTTAAGTTGCCCGCCGTGTGTTATCCTTGAATAAAGGTGAGTATTGGTTGTGAGATTCTCAGTGCTTCTCGCAGACTGTCTTGCTCCTAAAACAGTGTTTTCATGGGGTCTCTGTTAAGTCTTATTTTTTTAACTTTTTTTTTTTTTTTTTTTTTGTGAGAGAGAGGGAGACAAAATCCGAAGCAGGCTCCAGGCTCCGAGCTGTCAGCACAGAGCCGGATGCGGGGATCGAACCCACGAACTGTGAGGTCATGACTAGAGCCAAAGTCAGATGTTAAACTGACTGAGCCACTCAGGCGCCCCCGGAGTCTGTATTTTTAATAAACTTGTGAGGTAGAGGTAATGCAACTATCTTAACTGGTGATTTTCCAAGGACTGCTTTTTGGTTTACATTTATCTTGGACAGTTTTTCAGTGTTTATTTTTGAGAGAGGACGAGTGTGGTAGTAGCAGAGAGGGAGACCTGGAATCCGAAGCAGGCTCCTGGCTCTGATTTGGGGCTCGGACCCACGAATCCATGACCTGAGCCAGAGTCCCTTATGCCAGACGCTTAACTGACTGAGCCACTCAGATGCCCCCTTGGACTTTTTTTCTTAATTTTTTGTAACTCTTCTTATGTTTTTGACTAATTCTGGTTAAAATGGCCTCCTTAACTGTGCATTCTGTTTTCTCTGGTGGAGGCTCCCCCCCGCCCCCAATTCTGAGGGTTTTTTCACCCCAACATCACTCTCACCCTTATCATCTCTGTACTCTTTTTTTGGTTACATCCTTATTTATACTGGGTGAAAGACCATTGTTTTTCAGCATACTAGATCTCTTCTCAGAATGGCCTTTTTTCATCCAGATCTCTCTAAACTGGGAATGATGATGTCTCAGACTAGAGTCTCTGATGCTGGTCTTGATGTCAAAAATCAACTTCTGACTCATTTGGAGAACTGGATGCCTGAGTCTGAGAAGGGGCCAACAAGAGGGGCTTTAAATTTGCTTGTGCTTCTCATTGGTTGTTTTGTTTTTATCTTTCTAGTATGATTATTGTAGAAGCCTAGCTGGGGCAGTGCCCTTTCACAGCCTAATCTGGTGACTGAAGGGCTGAAGTTGGGAACTTACCCACTTGGAAAAGTGCGGTTGAGACGTTGGTGTCGCCTAGATAATGGCTCCTGCCATTTGAATCTGTGGGCTGTGATGAGGAGTGAAGAGCCATGTCCTTTATCCCTGGCTCCTATGGTGAGTGCCAGTTACTCTTCAGCCCCAGAGTGGTAATGGTAACCTTGGACCATGAACATTTCTCTGAGGATATTTGAAACCACTGAATCACTCTCCTGCTTCCTCTACCCACCCAAGTTCATGTTTTAATTCCAGTTATGTGCATGTTTCTAATAGATGTTCTTTTATGAAATTTCAGGGCTTTGCTAACTGGAGGATGTGTTCTATCTGGTGTTGAGCAAATCCTAGGAACTTCATCTAGCTGTCCTGCATTAACCTGTGAGCAGCTTTCAACTTAACAGGAGAAAAAACTGCATAGAAATTTTGAGACACTTTAAATATTTAGACCATGTTGACTTCTTTATTGTAATCAAATACTTGGTTTTGTCAAGGATTGTAATAAAATACTTTAGTGCAAAGTAAAAGTTTGGTCTTTGTAAAAACAGTGGTACAAAAAGATTTAGGGAAGTGAAAGGTAACCATCTGTGAATGAGCATCACAGTTGACATCTAGCCATGCCTCTTTACAGCTATATGCAAAATAAAAAAAATAGGTTGACACTAACATTGAGGTTTTCTAGGTGGTCTGTCACAGTATTCTAATGGACTAGATGTTCTTAACAAGTGATGAAGCTTCTTAGGATGTTGAAATATTAATACAGGCATTTAGTTTGCATTGATGGATCAGTGGAAACATAGGAACAACCAGGGGTTGTTCAGTCAGCTCAGGTCATGAGCTCACCAGTTAGTGAGTTTCAGATTCTGTGTCTCCCTCCCTCTCTGCCCCTCCTCCCCACTTGTCTCTCTCAAAAAGAAGTATTAAAGTTAAAAACAAAACCTGAGCCCCTCTGGCTCAGTGGCTCAAGTGCCTGACTTTGGCTCAGGTTATGTACTCACAGTTCATACCTCACTTCAGGCTCACTGCTGTCTGTATGCAGCCCACTTTGGATCTTTTGAATCCCTCTCTCTGTCCCTCTCTTACTTGCACTCACTCAAAACTAAGTATTAAAAACAACTGTGTCTGTGGTAGTTGCCAGGAGCTGGGAAAAGGGGCATGTGGAGTTTAATGGATATAGACTTACAGTTTACAAGACAAGGAATTCTGGGGATACATGGTGGTGATGGTTGTTCAATATTACAAACACATTCAATACTTATGAAATGTGTGCTTATGAATGGTTCAGTAAGTTTGTTTTTTAATGTTCTATTTATCTCAGAGATAGTCAGCATTGAACAGGGGAGGGTCAGAGAGAGAGGGAGACACAGAATCTGAAGCAGGCTCCAGGCTCTGAGCTAGCTGTCAGCACAGCCTGATGTGGGTCTCTAACCCACGTAACTGTGAGATCATGACTTGAGCCGAAGTTCCGGTGTTTAACAGACTGAGCCACCCGGGCACCCGCCCCCCTATATTTTTTTAAAGTAAGCTCTGCACACAATGTGGGGCTTGCGGTTCATGACCCTGAGATCAAGTCACTTGTCTACTTGCTGAGAGAGCCAGTTAAGCACCCCACCACCAATGGACTTTTGTGTTCATTGATCTTATATACACATGTGAGTTTAAATAGTCTCCTGTCCTTAACATGCTGTATCCAATTTCTCAGCCCATTACGCTGGTGCTACCTTTAAAAGCAATACCAAAATCTGACTGCATCTCACACCTCCACTACCATTCCACTCCTGTAGGAGCTATCATTAGCTCCCTTACATGATTGCCACAGCCTCCTAACTGGTCTGGCTTCCACCCTTACCCGTTAGTCATACCCACAAAGCAGCCAGAAGTTTCCCTCTAAAGCATAATTTGGGACTTGTTTCTGCTGCTCAGAATCCTGCAATGGCTCCCGTTTCATGGAGAGTGAAAGCCAAAACCTTCACAAGGACCATCCAACAAGGTCTTCCCAAGTCATTTCCTACTCTCCACTCTGCTCCAGCCATGTAGCATAAGCCAGGACCTCCTGTCAGTGTTCAGGGAGTAGAGATTTTACTTGCCGGCTGGGGTCACAACCACGTTCCTTTGTCTATGGGGTAGACTGAAACTTGTGCCAACAGAGCTTATGGATATAATTTGGGTTGTGAAGAAATCCTAGGGTGTAGAAAGAAAACAGTTTTGGACATTGTGGCACTGATAACCTTTATACAGTCCATTTGGAAAACAGTTTGGCAATACATGCTAAGTATGATGCACATTGTCTTCAACCCAGTATTTCCACTTCTGGTAATACACTAAAGAAACACATGTATATAGAAGGATTAGGTACACACAAGTGCTTGGTAATGGGTAATTGTAAAGGTGGGAGAGGAAACAACCTAAATGTAACTGGAAAATGGACAAATTGTGGTATTATAAAATATACCATAGAGCAGTGATGTGTTACGTGAAGCATGGGATGACTAACATAGTAAGATTAATGTCACAGACATAATATGAAGGAACAAAAGGCAAGTCACAAAAGAATACATTTGTAGTATGTAATGTTTAAAAACATTTAACAGCCAGGAGCATTTGGGTGCCTCAGTCACTTAAGCATTGACTCTTGATCTCAGGGCTGAGTTCAAGCCCCAAGTTGGGCTCTGTGGGGGCATAGGTGTCTCGGTTAAGCATAGGACTTCAACTCAGGTTATGATCTTGCGGTCCTGAGCCCTGTGTCAAGCTCTGTGCTGATAGCTCAGAGCCTTGAGACTGCTACAAATTCTTTTTTTTTCTTTTAATGTTTTATTTATTTCTGAGAGGGAGACACAGAATCCAAGGACAGGCTCCAGGCTCTGAGCTAGCTGTCAGCACAGAGCCCGACGCAGGGCTAAAACCCACGACTGTGAGATCATGACCTGAGACGAAGTCAGACTCTTAGCTGACTGAGCCACCCAGGCGCCCCGAGACTGCTTTGAATTCTGTGTCTCCGAGCTCTGTGCCCCTTCCCTACTCATGCTCTTTCTCTCAAAAGTAAATAAACATAAAAAATAATGTTCACAGCTAAACTTGTTTAAAGTATAATATAGTAAAAGAAATGCATAGGATTGCTAAATGTTACATTCAACCTGGTAGTACCTGGGCCGTGACAAGGGGGTGAGTAGAGAGAGTGATGCAGTCAAAGAGGTGTACATGGGAGCTCATTGTGTAATTTTTCATGAAGGGCTGAGCAAGGGCAAAAGCTAAGTCACTCTACAGGGACCCCTGCAGATTCTGAAGCTCACACATGGAACTCCCTTGGGAGACATCCAAAATGAGCTAATTCAAAAAACACCAGGTGTCCGCTCCAACACGAAAAAATCAACAGGCCAAATAACAGTTGCCTTTATAGCTAAGAAACTCAGATAACAGCATGTATGAAGGCTGAAGATATATTGCTAGTGGGAGTGTAAACTGGAGCAGCCACTTTGGAAAACTGTATGGAGGCTCTTCAAAAAGTTAAAAATAGAACTACCCTATGACTCAGCAATTGCACTACTAGGTATTTACCCTTTATCAAAGATAAAGGAAAGAATTTAATCTGTGCACAGACAGGGTATTACAAACAAAGAGCAGGTGGATTTAAAATAGAAACAAATGAGGGGTGCCTGGCTGGCTAAGTCAGAAGAAGCACGCGACTCTTGATCGCGGGGTTGTAAATTGGAGGCCCCATGTTAGGTATAGAGATTACTTAAAAATGAAATCTTTATAAAAATTTTCAATAAAAAATGAAACAAATTCTAAAATTGAAATAAGTACCTAAGCATAATAAACAAATTAACAGAACAACTGAACAGAAAATTAGTAAGTGGAAGAAGAAATCCATAATGTGGAGCAGAGAACACAAGTGAATAATTTGAAAAGGAAGTTAACATGAAGGAGGTAATGAGATGCTCCAGCCTTTGGCATTATTCATTTAGAGCTGCCCTCACCTTGTTGGCTTGTTACAATGCCACAGCCAGAACAGCTCTGCCCAGTGGCACATGGGGGCATCTGGATTTGAGCAGTTCAGGGCCATCTGTTAGTTTATTGTAGTATTTCCTGTCCTACTTTCCCATGATTATCTTGTGATTGTTATGTTATTTCCCAAAGAGGAAGGAAACAGGCTATCCCATTAAAGTACCTGCTGACTCCTAAATGTTATTGCTGGCAGTCAGGTGAATCAGGTGGAAGTGGGTCACACGCTAGACTGACTATTGCCTGTCATTAAGCCACTGAATTCTAAAGAATGTAGCAAAGATAGAGATGTGACCAGTAAACCCCAGTTATATGCTGCCATCAGGTAATAAACTGTGGGTGTGGGCGTGGGATCTGTCTCTAAAGGGCCTTGTGACCCTGGGTCAGGGAGCCTCCTATTTCCTAGCAGCATACAGAGTGGCTGTAATCCACTATGGGTTGTTATCTTCTAAAGGAGACCAAGCAATTGTTATAAAAAACTAATTTTAAACCTTTTATTATGAAACTTTTTAAAGTTTATTTTGAGAGAGAGAGAGCATGAGCAGGGTAGGGACAGAGAGAGCGAGAGAGAATCCCAAGCAGGCTCCACATGGTTAGGACAAAGTCCAGTGTGGGATATGAACCCATGAACCTTGAGATCATGACCTGAGCCAAAACCAAGAGTCAGAAGCTCAACTGACTAAGCCACCCAGGCACCTATGAAAGTTTTTTTTTTTTTAAATGTTTTATTTATTTCTAGGAGAGAGAGAGAGAGAGAGACAGCGTGAGCAGGGGAGGGTCAGAGAGAGAGGGAGACACAGACTCCGAAACAGGCTCCAGGCTCTGGGCTGACAGTCAGTCAGCACAGAGCCCGACGCGGGGCTCGAACCCACGAACCTCGAGATCATGACCTGAGCGGAAGTCGGACGCTTAACCGACTAAGCCACCCGGGCGCCCCGAAAGTTTTTTTTTTTTTTTAAAGTAAGTTCTGTGCCCAACATTGGGCTCAAACTCATTACCCTGAGATCAAGAGTTTCATGCTCTACTGACTGAGCCAGCCAGGCACCCCTGAAGTTTTTAAAACAGGAGGTTAAAACCACAGTGAGATACCACCTCACACCTGTCAGAATGGCTAAAATTAACAACTCAGGCAACAACAGATGTTGGTGAGGATGCAGAGAAAGAGGATCTCTTTTGCATTGCTGGTGGGAATGCAAACTGGTGCAGCCACTCTGGAAAACAATATGGAGGTTCCTCAAAAAATTAGAAATAGAACTACCTATGACTCAGCAATTGCACTCCAGTGTATACAGGTGTGCTGTTTCGAAGAGGCACGTGCACCCTAGCGTTTATAGCAGGGCTATGGACAATAGCCAAAGCATGGAAAGAGCACAAATATCCATTGACAGATGAATGGATCTTTATCCATGTGGAGTAATACACACAATGGAGTATTACTCGGCAATCAAAAAGAATGAAATCTTGCCATCCCCATCTACTGGGATGAAACTAGAGGGTATTACGCTAAGTGATATTAGTCAGAGAA